GAGGAGGAAGAAGGAGAAAGAAGAAAGAAGGAAGAAGAAGAAAGAAGAAGAAGAAAGCTGTGTGGAAGATGGGAGGAAAAGTCTTCCAGGCAGAAGGAACAGAACCTGCAAAGGCCCCAAAGTAGAGAGAAGAGCTAAGAGAAGACAAGTGTGAATGGCATTTCGTTAGTGAAACGGGAGGGCGTGGAGCTCAGAATCGTAGGGCCTCATGGGTAAAGCGACAGTTAACTTATTGTCCAAATCGTACATAGCTGAGAATAAAAAGAGGCCCTCTTAACAATCACATCTTAAATGAAATGAGGTATAAGATCACCCTCCTTAGAGACCAAAATAAAGATATTAGATTTTATTCTGAGTTCAAAGAGAAGCCACTGAAGGCTTCAAAACAAAGAAGTTTTATAGGGTGATTTACAAAGAAACACACTCGCTGCTTTGGAGAATATAGATTGGAAGGTAGGAAGTATGGAAGAGAGAAGAGAGGAGGCTATTATAGTAACCCAGATGAAGTGAGTAATTGTCAGCTATACTAAGCTATTAACACAAGAGATGGAAAGAGGATGGATTCAAGACCATATTTTGGAGCTCGAATCAACTACCTGCTGATGTACTAAGCAAAAGGAAGAGGAGAATACAGGATCATTCTTGGTTTTCTGTGTTGAGCAGAAGGGAGAGAATGGTAGGAAGGAGCATGGGAGATGTTTGCCATTCTTTTCAGCCAATCAGAATCTATACCATTTTTCTATATTTGGGGATTCCCCGCACAGATTGATGGCGACAAGATCCGTCTTTTATTATAGATGCTGAAATGCCAGATATTTGCTTTCCCAGCCTCCCTCGTGACTGAAGCACGAGTACGTGCTAAACTGCCATGAATTAGATACTTTCATCCCATCCAGCGAGTACAGAGGCAGTAGACTATGAGGAACTCTGACGCCAGCAGCAGCGAAGTCATGTTCAAGTGCAAGCAAGCATCAGTGGAGGTGATTCTAGAGTGAGTGTCCAAAGCCAGTCCTGGCCTCTTTGGACCAGTTTTATAGCTCGACGTGAGTGATATTAACAGTACCCCTAAAAGCAATCTCCAGTAATCCCAGTTCCTCCATAAGCTAGACAATATCCCAATGTCATGCACACACACCTTTTGCTACTGAGAAGCGGAAATTTGTATCAGAAGTGGTTGCAGGTGACAGAACTTCAAATATTAGTTATTGGGCCTTCTTGGGGCTAAAGACAGTTGGAATTCTGCGGGTTTTAAGGAACAGGACTCTAGTATCCTATGGCATCTTGTAGAGAAGCTGTCACATTCACTTGCCACCTACGACGAAGTGCCCATGGTGTGGCTTGGGCAGGGCGGAGTGGTGCCACAGAAGAGCATGAGGGGCACACATCCAAAGACATGTGTTCAAAGTCAATACAGCATTATGGTTTGACCACGGTTCTCAATAGTTCACAGACTAATGGTGCTTCTTATAATTGATCGTCTTGCAGTATCTTTTTGGCAAAAGATATGAGATGGTTGAGGGAAATATCAGCATATTTGAGGAGCTAAGGGATGTGGACAGGGGTGGTTACTTCTTACTGTGGTGAATATAGCTTAAAATGGGGTTTCTTAAGCCCGGAACTATTGGTAATTGGGGCTGGATACTTCTTTATCATGGGAGGTTGTCCTATGCATTGTAGGATATTTAACAACACCCCTGGTCTCTTCATTACATGCAAGTAAAATATACATCCATCCCTCCCCAGACAACCAAAAATGTCTCCAGAAATTGGCTTAAAGAAAGAAATAATTCTCAAATTCTATCAAAGCACAGACTGAAAGAGGCTACGGACAGAGGCTACAGCCAAAGAATCTCTTAGCGCACGCAGCCGGAAAGCCCAGGAGACCAAACAGTCCAACTTAAATTTTGATCCCATGAGTTGCCAAATTATAGCATCAGTTTAATTCGTAAGCTCACCAGGTCACTTATGTGCAAATAGGACCTTAAGAATTGGAATGGTGATATACGAGAGGATGCAGGTGAACCAGAGTATCCATAAGCTTCGATCTGCAACGGAACTCACTCACCAGTCGTCTCAAACACTGTTCTCCTGTCTGATGGTGCAGTTACTGCCTTGCTTGAAAACTCTTAATAAACTCACTGGAGCTCACCGACACAAAAAGCCACATCTGCTCGTCATCTCCACCACTCTCCACTTTCCCCAGACCTATAACAACAGTCAAGACTCCAGTATGCCGCAGAAAGACAAATACAGAATCTGACCCAGGAGATGGCTTACACACTAAAAAATATCTGTAAAATCGCTTGCAAATATGTATGGTTATATAATATGAGAGTGTTCGATCAGGAGGCATAATCATAATTTTGTATTAGGCTGACTTTATCAATATGAGTATGCATACCAGAGGTGTTGGGTTTAATATGCCGACTCAAGCAGGTAGAAATGGTTTTAATTGTTTTCTAAATTGGTTGACCTCAACCTGGACTCGATGGTAGTCCCCATGAAATAAAGTTATGTTGTCAGCAATTCTATGGAATAATGAATAGGAAGACAGGTCTTAGATAGACGTGCTGGAGTGGTTTGTTACGTACAATCTGCTCACTCACAGTATCTCTGTTCCTTAAGAGAGCTCAGATGACACTCCATTAAGGCTTTGAGAAATACTATGATTTCATGAGTTCGGAGATGTACACTTTTTCATGTCTCTGATAGGAGGCTGTCTCATGAATTATTGCAGGTCACCACACTTTGACAGCGTTGTTTTTTTTTCCTAAACAGTTCATAAAATTATAGTCCATCTTATCCCCGATGGTGTCTTGGGCTTGATTAATTTGGGGTATCATTGAGGGGACCAGGAGCCTATTCTAAGAGATTGCTGTGGCTGTTCTTCATCGGCCATGCATGTTAGGAGATGCTGATTTCAGTGGGGATGGACACCAGCTGCCTTGGGTAGCAGAAGCAAGAGCAGAATTTCGTTTCCAAGAAAAAAAGGTGGGCGCGATACCCACAGGCAGCAGGAGCGGCCCGGCAATCCGAATAGTCTACCAAAGGGGTTTTGCGGCAGCGGCTGCTAATCACGTGTTCTTTAGGGCCAAAGTGGATGGGCAGCCCGCTAATGTCTCACCTCGAGGCCCAGTAAACAGACCTGTGTTGAATCACCACAAAAGAGAACACAGGTAACCACTCATCCAATGCCCGGAACTGAATCTTTTCACAGACTCAGAGTACCTTGTACTAGTTCTCCAAGGCTGCCGTAACGCGTGACCGCAAACAGGGTGGCTTAAAACGACATAAATGTATTCCCTCTTGGTTCTGGAGGCCAGAATCTGAAATCAGCAGGGCCGTAACTCCCTCTGAAGGCACTAGGGAAGAATCTAGTAGTCTCTGGTCTTCCTTGGCTTGTAGTTATATCACTCCCTCTCTGACTCCATCATCACATGGCCTTCTCTGCTGTGTGTCTCTGTGTCTCTGCTCTTATAAGGACACCAATATGACTTCGTCTTAACTTTATTACATCTGCAAAGACCCCACTTCCAAATAACGTCTCATTCACAGGTCCCAGCTACTGAGGATTAGGGCTTGGACATATCTTTTGGGGAGGACACAATTCAACCTTCTAATCTGCTCCCCCAGCCACACTTATTCCACTATAAAAACCAGGCTTTTTAGTTTCGAACATTAGTAATCAACTCTGCTTTAAACAGAAGGTAAATTTATTAAAAAGATAATGGTTAGCTAATAAAACCACTTGAGATGGCTAAGGAATCAAGCTTCAGTCAGAAACAGTGCCC